GAAATATTAGTAAATAAAAATTATTAAAAAATTAACTTAACTAACTATATCATATAAAAATTAATGTGATTAAATATTAAATGGCTCCATAGGGCCTCCATCTTGCCCGATACATTTTGGTAATCTTCTTCGAAGTTTCTCCAAAAATCCTCTTACAAAATCTGAATGGTTTTCATTTAGTTCATTTATTTCGAACCTAATCAGTTGCTTTAGATGTTCTATATTTTCAACATGATTTTGGTAAATGTAATTTTTTAAATATCCATATAGAAACGCATCCATTGGAATAAGACATGGACTGTTGGCTGGCCAGTTAATTTGTGCAATTTTTCTACCAATCCATATGTTAAAACCTTGGTGTAAGTGGTTTCTCACTCTTAAGGTGGTATGAGGCGGGACTCCGTCCTGCTGGAATATAACATGTCCAAAATGCTGCAAAGGTAATTCATCTAGAAAATCTTCTAGGTCGTTTTCGAGAAAGTTTAAATATGAGTCCCCATTCAGGTTTTGATAAAAAAAAAATAGGGTCCAATAATTTTGTTATCCATTAGTCCGCACCAAACGTTAATTGACTGGTGCTCTTGAAATCTAAATTATCTGCAACTGAATGGGTTTTCTGTAGTCCAATACCTGGTATTTTTTTATTGATCATGCCATTCGTGGCAAAGGTAGACATGTCCGTCCACATGATGTTTCTTAAAAAGTTGGGATTATCACCATCATGAGGCGGCAAAATGTCAATTTTGGAGTAGGTTTGATCTTGAAAGGCTTGTAACCAGCTTTCTTAAGAGTATTTTGAATTTTTAAGTAGGTCGTATCACGGACATTCCATTGTAAACTTTGAAATTTTTCGAATACCCTTTTGCCTGTTTTTTGCAAGGAGCGTGCTTTCTTGCATTTAAGCCTCGTTGCGTTGCTGTGGCATTATGGTTGTTTCGAATAAACGAGCTTAAAATTATTTGTTCTCTTTGCGAGTATGGCATTTTTAATAACAATTTGCAGCGATACTTTTTGAATTACTTGATGAAGTTACTGTCAGTGATACTTTTATTGAGTTATCTATTGCTACTAGATAAGAACTTAAAATTTTAAATTTCATATTTTATTTGTTAATATTTCAAAGACCGTTGACTTGTTATATAAAAAATGCTTAGAATTAAACGAAGAATAAATTAATTAATTCAGATATAAGGTGTCCGTCCCATTTAAAAAAGTATACTTTTTGATCAATTTTCAAATACCTATAGTACAGAAAAAATCCTACAAGCTCACATTTTTTTTTATAAAATTTTACTGCCCCAAGTAAACAAGTTAAGATGGGCGGACTTTATAGAAAATCACCTGGTACTATGCTTTCAGAGTTAGTACAAGTGTTAGTTCAATTTTGCTTCCTTAAAAAGTTTAAAAAAGTAAATAGTTTTATTTCATTTTTTAAGACAGCTCCTTTATAAGAAATTGGAATATGGGCTTAGTACTTCGTAGAACAACATTTAGCAATATCCAGTGAGCTTTTCCTTAGCAGTTGCATAATCCAGTAGCGCAGCGTAGCGTAGTCAGCTCTCTGTAATTGACAACTACAGGGTATTCCAGAAATAAGTGCTCAAAATTTTAACCAATTTCAACCAACCATTTTAATACTAAAAAATGTGTATAATAATAACAACAATAATAATAATTGAAACAGGATTATCAATAAGTACTATAAAAATAGTATTCCGATGGAAATCGTTTTATGAAATTGTGGAAAGTTCTTTAAGTTATAGTTTTAATTTCAATATTTTTAAAATAACTACTCAACTTATTATAAAGCTGAATCTCTACCTTATTATCGTTTGTAATATTAATTCGGGAGAATGGCACTACAAGATTCTGAGCCTGTCTTGTGTTATGGTTATGAGAGAAGGAATGTGTGACAAAATTTTTGAGATTTTTATGGACTAGCAATAGAGATTCGGAGATATAGAAACACGGAAATGGCAGAATCTTGTTTTAAATAAATCCTTGCATGATGAACGGCAACATGCTGCAGCCACAAGGCGAACCGCCGACTTCTGGAGAATTAATGCCTTCCTTGCTCTAACTGAATTGCTCTATAGCAGCACACCATAGGAAAGGTGGCTATGAACCAGTGAAAAGTAAAGAGTTCTCATCACGTATTCAGTGAAGGCCTCAGCTGCCCTATGGAATAAATAGAATCCACATGAGGTGACTATAATAGGCCGGGATCTAACGTAATACCTAATGACTTCACAGTATTAGATCTATTAACTAATTTATCTGATGTAACGCTGAGTTTTAGTAATATTCAATTTAAGTTTGTTAGCAGAAAACCAAGACTTAACCTCCGTTAAACACTCTCTTGCTCCTATCAACACAGCCCCACAACAACAGAATACACTTACAGTCATGCACATTAATTGGCAGGTTTTAATAATAATAATAATAATAATAATAATAATAATAATAATAATTTTATTTCCTCTAAGACAAAATACAAATTTGTATAGGAATTGTCAAAATAATTTTGCCTTACAAACTAAACCATAAAAAATTTGTCTCAAGTATAATAACAACTTTCGAGTAAAAAGCCTTTTAGCACATTTTTAAAAACTTTTAAACGTTTAGCGTGCTTAATGTGATCACTCAAATGATTAAAAGTTGGAGAATGCGCGCGCGGGCAAACGACGAACAAACGCAGCGGGACTGGGCGATCGGCCATAAATTTCAGTTGTCGACAAATTGCCTATCAGTGCAGTGAAGCAATGCGGAATTTGGTGCGATTCGGGCAATTTTAATTTATTATAGGCACCTTCTATCAATCATTGATATTACAAT